TCGCCTGCCCAGGCGGGTCTCGAACCCACCGGCTCAGGCAATCCACTCACCTCAGCCTCCTAAAGGCATGGGATTACAGGCTGAGTCACCGAGCCTGGCTTATTATTTTTTATTTTAAAAATGTGGGGTACAATTCAGGGTTAGGTATACAAATGTTGATTATGCAGGTACCCTTATTAAAAATTCTTTAATAGAGATGAGGTCTCTCTGTGTTGTCCAGACTGGTCTTGAACTGCTGGGCTCAGGCAATCCTCTCGCCTCAGCCTCCTAAAGTGCTGGGATTACAGGTGTGACCCACCATGCCTTGCCTGGGGAATCACAAGTTTTGTATGGATATTCAGCTGCATGGTGTTGGTACCCTAAAGTCCCATGTTATTCAAGGGTCAACTGTATATACATTTAAGAAAAACACTTGCCATTAATGTTTACTGTAACAGTCCCACAAAATCTTCATCTTGGGTACTGGAAAAATCAGTCAACTGCTCTGATGTATCTAAAACAGGGAGACCAAAAGGCACTTCTGAATAGATGCCAAGGTCTGCTAGTCCTACTGGGGCTTAAGAGAAGTGTGAGCATGCATACAAGCTCCATTCAGGATGGGGCCTGGGCTCTCCACCTGATTCCCTGGGCAGAAACCGCAAGGCCAGGCCACATACAGTTCTGGTGATTCACAGCAGCCAACCTTAGCGGGCACTTCTTCCCCCTCAGATACTTGCTCTGTGTTATAACAGAAAAACCAGGCACCACATTCATGACTAGGCCATCAGGAAAACCTCTGCTAGTCTACTGAGCTGGGAAACTCCAAGTCTGCTGCTGCCATCCCTCGGAATGCAAGTCATTGGGACAACCTGATCAGTGGAGGATGCAGCTAAGAACGAGCACCTTTCCTTCTGGGGATCTGACTCCCTGGCTGCCCTCTGGGAGAGGAGAGGCCTCCTATGAGTTTGCTGGGTTTTAGAGAACATTCAACAAATCCTGATCGGGATGCTGAGGGGGGTCCGTGAACTCAGAGTTATCTCCAGGAATCTCTTAAGCTTCATGTTAAAAAATTAAACTGTATCACCGAGTTAGGCCATAAAGGTATAAATTGCACAAGGAAATCTTTCTGCATGTATTCATCACAATTCTTCCTTGTATGTGATATACACAGAATCAACTGCTAAAGGAATTAACAAACAATGAGGACCACTATTTTTTTTTTTTTTTTTGAGTTGGAGTCTCACTCTGTCGCCCAGACTGGAGTGCAGTGGCCGCTCCCAGCCACCGCAGCCTCGACCTGCTGGGCTCTGGCGATCCTTCTGCCTCAGCCTTCCAAGTAGCTGGAACTACAGACGCACGCTACCACGCCCGGCTGATTTTTCTGATTTACTGTAGAGATGAGGTCTCGCTGCCCAGGCGGGTCTTGAACCCGCAGGCTCAGGCAATCCACTCACCTCAGCCTCCCAAAGGCACGGGATTACAGGCTGAGCCACCGAGCCCGGCTGAGGACCACTATTCTCACGTAATTAGTCTAGCACAGAATAAGAATAGTAAGGAAATCTTAAAAGTTACACTTAGTACCTTTATGTATTATATATGAACACACCCAGCATTCTCTCCATAATAGACAACATATACTGAATACCTACTGTGTTGACAGTGTTGTAAGTGCCTTGGGTAAATACATACTCAATCATAGCAACCACTCTCTGTATCCCTCATATAGACGAGGAAACTGAGGCCGAGAGTTTAAGCAACTTGCCCAAGGTCACATGCAGACAGGGCTGAAACCCCAGCACTCTGGCTCCAAAGCCTGCCTTAATTACCACCTTGCACTCCTGTTGCCTCTTAGAGGTACCTTCTCACGCTATGGCATTTGTGAAATATCCAGGTATATTTTGTGCTTGCTATGTACAGCTAATATGGTGATTCCTTTCCTCCTCAAGAAGCTGTTATTAAATCAGTGATTCATCTTACAGTCTACCGTGTCTTACATTCAAGGAAATATGGCACATAGGATTGGCAGGACGTCACTTGACTTCTTTAGAAATCAGTTTTCTCATCTATAAAGTGAAACAATTGAAATGGGTTGCCCATGAGTGCCTTTCATATCTGTAGTTGTTCTTCACAACACAGGTTGCGTGGCTTGGAATGCTGCATTAAGACAAAAAGACTACAAGGGAGCTGACAGTAAATGCACGAACACACTCACTTCCTTCCAATGTCGAGGCCCGTCTTCAGGATGACATCATACCGGAAGGACTGCACTGCTTTCTCCAGGTCTTTGTAGTCTTTGACCACCTTGGGGTCATCCTCAAGCTCCTCTTCCTGCTCGTCCATCTCATCATGGTCACTCTCCTCATCAGAGTCCTCTTCATCTTCTACTTTTTGCAGATGCTTTTTAGTGGACTTTTTAGAGCTTATATTACTTTTGAGTCTTATGGAAAGTGGAAAAACATATTCTGGAGATATTAAAAGCCCCGGGAGTCTCAGTGAGAAAACATTATGGAAGAGTGTTTTATAATGTGATGCATTTAACTTGGTGCTAGAAAAATACAAATATCGGTTCCAGGGAATACAGCGTTTGTGTGAAGAAGGTATCCCTCGGAGCACACCCCAGAGTCCAATCCAGGTATCTGGCTTTCTTAAATCACCGGCAAGCAATCTGACAGTAGGCATAGCCATGGCGCATATCACCTGAAACAGGTAAGAAATCAGTTTTATCTCACAGCATAAACCATTATGCCATGAACACTGTATGTCTAATACTGTACTTATGCTCCCCTACAAAAAGCTGTATCAGTCCAGACATGTTGGCACATACCCGTAACTAGCACCTTGGGAGGTCAGGTGGGGAGGATGCTTCAGCCCAGGAGTTTGAGACCCACGTAGGGAAAACAGTGAGACCTTGTGTCTACAGAAAATAAAAAATGTAGCCAGGCGTGGTGGTGCATACTTGTTGTCCTAGCTTCTTGGGAGGTTGAGGTAAAAGGATTGACTGAGCCGGGCTCGGTGGCTCATCCTGTAATCCCGCGCCTTTGGGAGGCTGAGGTGAGTGGATTGCCTGAGCCCATGGGTTCAAGACCCGCCTGAGCAGTGAGACCTCATCTCTACAATAATAAAAAAAAAGATCAGCCGGGCATGGTAGCGCATGCCTGTAATTTCGGCTACTGGGAAGGCTGAGGCAGAAGGATCACCGGAGCCCAGCAGGTGAGGCTGCGGTGGCTGGGAGCGGCCACTGCACTCCATTCTGGGCAACCGAGTGAGACTCCAACTCAAAAAAAAAAAAAAAGGACTGACTGAGCCCAGCAGGTCAAGGTTATGGTGACCTGCAATTGTTCCACTGTACTCCAGCCTGGGTAACATAGTGAGACCTCAGCTCCACAGCAGCAACACGAAAAGCCTATTGGTCTGCATGTTCCGAGGGTTACAAGATGAATATTCTTGCTGCAGTGAACATGCTCAGCCCACAGGGTTGTCACGAAACACTAATAAATGTGAAGCCCTGGTTCTACCTTCTCCCTCCCTCAGACTGACTTTGTGTACTGATTGCTACTGAAAAGTATTAGCAGTAGTTCTGAATGATTTGTGTTAAAAATAATCTAAGCCAGGTACAGTGGTTCACACTTATAATCCCAGTACTTTGGGAAGTGGAGGTGAGAGGATTACTTGAGCCCATGGGTTCAAGACTAGCCTGGGCAACTTGTCAAGACCTCATCTTTACGATAAATCAAAAAATTAGCTGGGTGTGGTGATATGTGCCTGTAGTTCCAGCTATTTGGAAGGCTGAGGTGGAAGAACCGCCTGAACCCAGCAGGTTGAGGTTGCGGTGGCCATGATTGTGCCACTGCACTCCAGCCTGGGTGAGAGAGGGAGACTCTGACTCAAAAAAAAAAAAAAAAAAACCTGGAGAGAAAAACTGTGTATTGGCACACATCACGTCTTTACAAAATTGACTTTGCCAAGGAAGGACCCCAGGTCCTGACCCACAGGTTCGCCACACCCAGAGCGACTCTCAGCTTTACTGCAGCCTCCCACCCCAGCACTCCTGGGTAGAAACCAGCAGACTGCACACAGCTGAAGCTGCCTCCTCTCACAGCTTCTTCCCAATGTTTACCAGAGGCGACAGCGGTGGAGAAGGAATGGCCAGAGACCCACACACTCAGTAACTGTTTCCTGGGGCGCTGACGTGCAGACAGTGCAGAGCAGTGAGTGCCTATAGCTGCTTCAAGTGCAGCAGAAACCCTCTGACACAATGTCGGCAGGCCTCCCAGCACATCAAGACAGCCTGAGACACGATTTGGCACCAGATAATGGCTTCCATGAGGCCAATATCCTCGCACTTTGAGTCTGCAAATGCCTTTCCTTTGTGCCCAGGTTACACCTAAGGACTGATTTCTCAATAATGATTCTCATGATCTTTCCCTCCTATTTTCCATGAATCACAAAGCTAACAGCAGCAATGATCTGTACGGTTCACTCAAAAACAGCTACCTATGGTTTCAACAACTGGGGTCTTATTTTCCTGGTATGAATGGGCTGACAACACAAGTTCAGATCTATTCCATTGCTCTTGGGACCCTAATAATCTAAGTCTTAAAAAAAGAAACAAAAAGACTCATTTTAAAGGCTGTTTTTTTTTTTAACATAAATGCAATTTTAAATAATTTTGGCCAGGCTCGGTGGCTCAGCCTGTAATCCCGCACTTTGGGAGGCTGAGGTGAGTGGATTGCCTGAGCCCGAGGGTTTGAGACCCGCCTGGGCAACTTGGCGAGACCTCATCTCTACAATAAATAAAAAATTAGCCAGGCGTGGTAGCGTGCGCCTGTAGTTCCAGCTACTTGGAAGGATGAGGTGGAAGAATCGCCGGAGCCCAGCAGGTCGAGGCTGCAGTGGCCGGGAGCGGTCACTGCATTCCAGTCTGGGTGATACAGTGAGCTTCCAACTAAAAAAAAAAAAAAAAATTAAAATGCTATGAGACTCAGAGTATTCTAAAATAATGACCAGAAATGCCTGAAGCATCTTCAAGAGAAATGTTGCCAACAATTACTTTTACACATATTCTAATTCAACAAACTTTATATTTTATATAACTAAGGTGCCTCATGACGGACTTGAGAGAGTTCAATGCCAGAAGACTAGGAAGGAGACATTCTTAGAATTGAACCTTTTTAAGTTGAATACACTTAGCATGGTAAGAAACCAGCTGTATCAGGACCATGTCCACTACCAGGGAGAGTGGGACCAAACCTTACCACACGCAATTTACTTATGTAGCAAATCCTCACATGTACCCACGCTCTAAAAAAAAAAAAAAACAAAATAAAGAAACCAACTGTTGTCATTTTATTTTTTTCTTTTTCTCACTGTAGGCCTGGGAAAGCCTTATCACACATTGGCATAGCCTGTGGCTCAGTGTTGGGCACCAGTAATACATCTGAAGACCAGGACATTAATAAGTTTAAATTAGATGCTCCTAAGTCATAACTAGAAAAGGTTGAGTATATTCCCTTATATGCAGTAACTTTTTTCTTTCTTAAAGTTTTCTGATTATACATGAAGTATATTTTCATTATAGAAAATTGAAAAATACCAGGAGTACCAAAAAAATATATACACATTTTTTTTTTCCTTTTTTTGAGTTGGAGTCTCACTCTGTCACCCAGACTGGAGTGCAATGGCTGCTCCCGGCCACCGCAGCCTCGACCTACTGGGCTCCGGCGATCCTTCCGCCTCAGCCTTCCAAGTAGCTGGAACTACAGGCACGCGCCACCATGCCCAGCTACTTTTTTTCCTTAATTGTAGAGATGAGGTCTCACCAAGTAGCTCAGGTTGGTCTTGAAGCCGTGGGCTCGGGCAATCCTCTCACCTCAGCCTCCCAAAGTGCTGGGATTACAGGCGTGAGCCACTGCGCCCAGTCCAATTTTTACTTTTTAAGAACTAGAAGTGGGATCCGCCTGGGCAACTTGACGAGACCTCGTCTCTACAATAAATCAAAAATTAGCCGGGTGTGGTAGCACGCGCCTGTAGTTCCAGCTACTTGGAAGGCTGAGGCGGAAGGACTGCCAGAGCCCAACAGGTCGAGGCTGAGGTAGCCGGGATCATGCTACTGCACTCCAGTCTGGGCGACAGAGTGAGACTCCAACTCAAAAAAAAAAACCCAAAAAACAACTAGAAGTGGCCTGGTACAGTGGCTCAACTGAGCCTGTAATCCCAGCACTTGGGAGGCCAATATGGGAGGATTGCTTGAGTCCAGGAGTTCAAGACCAGCCTAGGCAACACAGTGAGATCTCATCTCTATTAAAGAGAAAAGAAAGAAAAAAGAAATATCTATAACCAAGGAATACAGAAAACATTACAGTGCATCACATGTAGCAAGAATAAATACTGCTTCATGGAACTTTTGCTACAATCACACACACATCAGGTCACCATGTAAAATAGATTTCTGTGGACCACCGGAAGACGTTTGGCAACACTAGTCTAGGTGCCCTCAGGCAACCACTTTTGCTACCAGCTATGATGCCAACGGCCACCTGGCGATCTTGGCTGTGTGCTCTATCCCGCTTAACAACCCCCCACCCAGGGCCAAGAGTGTCTGCAGAAATGGGAAGGGCGGCTTCTGAGGGACGACTCTGTGCAGGTCCCGCTTTCTGCAGATGAGACCCAGGTAATTTCGCAACTTAAGAGAATGCTCAGTCACACAGTCACTGACAGGGCCTGGGACTCCAAGGTCAAGTCTTCCCCAGGCTCATTTGTTCTGGTGGGCCAGGCACTACGCCACACAGATCAACTCACTCATTCCTTGCAACAAACTCATCTCAGCCACAGAGACACTAAGTGGAACCCAGGCATCCTACCTCCGAAGTCTGGGCTTGTTACCACCATGCTGGACTGCCCATGGGTCTTTTGGCTCCAAGTTCAGTGCTTTCTGCCACACCATGACATTGATTTTTCTTTTTTCTTGAATAGAAGGTAAGTTTCAATTACAATGCCAGAGAAAACGGACAGATTCAGGGGTAGAGGAGTGGGAGGAAGTAGCACCACCCCGAGAAGAACTCCAAAGAGACACCCTGGGAGAGGAGAGTGCCCATGGCCGGGGGTTGGGGATCCTGTCTCTGAGCCAATCCCTGGTGCTCACATTCGTAATCAAAAGTCCTAGCTTTACACCAGACTGCTGTGTGCTCTGAGGAATGCCTGGCTGTGGTGTTGCTCTCTGCACACATCCCAGTGGAGCTGTACTTACCTCCATGAGGAAACATTTATGAGCAGAAAACATTTAAAATCACTTGGTCAGGTGTGGTAGCTCACATTTAAAATCCCAGCACTTTGGGAGGATGAGGCAGGAGGACTGCCTGAGCCCAGGAGGTCGAGGTTACAGTGAATCACTGCATTCCAGTCTAGGTAACAGAGAGCCCAACTCAAACAAATAAAAAAATCACACTCACATGCAAACACAGCAAATATACCCAAATATCAAGCCAAGTATCATTTTTATGTTTACTAGCTACTCACTACCTCTCTTTGTAATCTGTTTCACTTTCCAGGAGGCAAACTGGTAAACACTGTAAGTTTCTTTTTTATTTTATTTTTAATAGGAGTCTCACTCTGTCACCCAGGCTGGAGTGCAGAGGCACGCTCACGGCCACTGCAGCCTCGACCTGCTGGGCTCAGTCTTCTACCTCAGCCTTCCAAGTAACTGGAACCACCAGTGCATGCCACCACTCAGCTAATTTTTGATTTATTGTGGAGATGAGGTCTCACCAAGTTGCATAGGCTGGTTTCAAACCACTGGGCTCAGGCAATCATCTTGCCTCCGCCTTCCTAAATACTGGGGATTACAAGCGTAAGCCACCGTGCCCAGTGGAAGTTTAAATAAAACCTATGAAAAACACAGAATTGAGAAAACACACTAACCAAATTTGTGCTGGAGATGATGACCACCTGTGGATATTAGTAGTGAACACTCAGGGTCACAAGGGAGGTGACTGTGAACCCAGGTTCTGCCTTGGAGCTTTGAAACTGGTCAGGAGAGCCCTGAGTTAGGAGTGGGGGTGCTAAAGTAGGGAGCTCACAGTACCCAGAGCCTCTTCAAATGAAGCAGTGCTGAATACTTGGCTCCTTAGAGTTCATTTGGGAAAAAAAAAAATTGGGCCAGGCAGTGGCTCACAGCTGTAATCCCAGCAGTTTGGGAGGCTGAGGTGGGAGGACTGCTTGAGCTCAGGGGTTTGAGACCAGCTTGAGCAACGCAGCAAGACTTAGTCTATAAAAAATAAAAATGTTGGTGTGGTGACGTATACCTGTAGTCCCAACATTTTAGAGGCAGAGGCGAGAGGACTAAGACCAGTGGTTCAAGAGCTGCCAGCGCAACTTGGTGAAAACTAGTCTCTACAATAAAAGTAAAAACAACAAGCTGGGCTTGGTGGCTCAGCCTGTAATCCCGTGTTTTGGGAGGCTGAGGTGAGTGGATTGTCTGAGCCTGTGGGTTCAAGACCCACCTGGGCAA